TTATTTTTTTACCCACAAATTCCTGACCCCCCCCCCCCCCCCTGATATGTATACATGCGCAACATGCCCCGCACACACGGCTACTGCATGGATCGCGCAGGGGCACCAGCACTCTTCCGATGGCCTCGGCCTGCATCTCACCACTGCAACACAGGTCTATCAAGCACGCTTCAAAACACGGAGTAACTTGTCGACACCTACAACCAACCGCTCCCAGGGGGGCCCGCAAAGAATTCCATACAAAATGACCCTGTCGGTCATATAGTCAACATGACACCACGAACTACAGTTATTATGTACTGGTGGATCAACCAATCGATGGACTTGCGTTTCCCGAATTTCATGGCTGAAGCGTGTCACACTTCGCTCTTTTGGAACGGGAGCATCGCGAGATGGGCGAGCCTGAAATTCACCTTCTTCAATGTTCTAACGTGTTGCCATTATCACAAGTTCTAGAGCGTTAGCCGTAGGGTTAAAAAATCAAACAGCGTGAGAAAGTGTACAGCGTTTTCGAAGTTTGGCGGGAAAAACTCTATAACTGTGTACCTCGGTAACGGGGACACCCCCCACCCCCCCGCCCCCGAAAAAAAATATGATAAAAAATAAAACGGGAATTTGTCCCTCCCAAAACAAAAGAAAAAAAAAAAAACACGTTGTACCCCCTACCCCCTTCCCTCCTCCTAATTGTAGCTCTATCACTGCCCCCAGGATTTGAACTTATTGTCCCGGCTGCGTCGGAATATTGACATTGCCTCGTTCGACGGATCGCTCGAGCCACCTTGACAAAGAACATCGCCCTGGGTCCCAGCCTCATTCATTCTATCAATATCCACACAGAACACAGACCGTAGCGAGTTCTGCGATGCCTGCAAAGCTCTCCGACCGACAGAGTTTCCCGTTGACTAGGGTTGTTGTGTCGCTGCCATCTGTACGACCAAAGGACAGACCGCACCAACCGCTGCAGCCGCCACCGTCCATGAGTTCCAGCCCCGCCTAGGAGGCCCGGCCAGCGCCGCCCCTCAAGCGGCGGCGATCGCGCCGCTCCGACTCGTCGTCGCTGTCGAAGTCGTCGCCGTAGTCGTCTCCGGAATCGTCGTCAGAGTCGTCGTTGGTGGACTCGTCGTCGTTGTCGAAGTCGTCGTCACTGCCCTGCGCCTCCTCGTCGTCATCTTCGGACAGCGGCGTCACGAAACCAGAACCGTCGTCGTCGTCATCATCACTCTCGTATGAGGCGGAACCGTCTCCGCGGCCGCTGTCGCTGCTGCTGCTGGCGCTGGCGCTGGCGCTGACGCTGACGCTGCTGCTGCTGCTGCTGCTGCTGGTCACCGTGGTACTGGAGCTAGAGGAGGAGGGGGACGAGGAGGCAGTAGTGGTAATGGTGGTGGCGATGCCATCGCACGCCTGGTCCCACGAGGTTGTGATGCCCGACAGGGCCTCGCTGTAACGCCGGCGACGGTTTTTGTTGAAACGTCATCGGCGATGGTGGTGGTGATGGTGATGGTGATGGTGGTGGTGGTGGTGGTGATTGTGTCGGTGGTGATTGCGGTAGTACCGGTTCGATGGCGACGGTGTTGGACGCGGTGGAGGCGTCGTTTGGTGTTTTGGTGAGAGGCGAAAAAACGACGAGGTAGAAAGCGAAGGGTAAGCGGCTCAGGCTAGACGGTGATACTCCCAGCACGGTGTTTGATCGCTACATCGGGGTCAAGCAAGCCCCCATGATGACGCGCAATGCACCCTCGGTGTTTGGTTGAAGACACACATCAGCAGCGATGGGAAACAAGGGCAAACCACCAACAAGGATCTTCGACAGCGCCAACCGACATCAACGTCATGACGAAATGAGCTGTGGATGCGTTATATCCTGTACGCGGCTGCCGAAGAGGGTGTTTGACGCGATACCGTCAGAAAACGTCCACCTCGAAATGACAAGCAACACCACTTAACCGGCAGCAGTAGCAGCAGCGGCGGCGGCAAGAAGAACGAACACATGCCAGCACCACACGCAACAACGACAACAACAACTCACCCGGTCAACGAGCAAGACCCTTCCTCGCAGGTGTTGCCGCAAATGTCGCCCTGCTCGCCCACGAGCACCTTGAGGGCCCCTACGCCGACGGCATAGAAATCGTTGCCGTACACCTGTCGGACGGGGGTTAAGGCCACATGGAAACGAATAAACGACAATTCAGGGTCCCTCCCTGTATTGAATGCAGCTGTGGCGGCTTGGTTACACAAAAGTTATTTGTTGCGGAGCTGTCGTGCTGGGTGTTGGCAACAGCGATGTGCCCGTGTCACGACAAGTGTAGAGTTTTTTGTGGCCGGGGGGGAGAGAGACCCCACCGGAGTAAGGGCAACATGCACGTAGGCGTTGAGGGTGTGGTTGCTGCATGAGGGAGAGGTAGTGTTGGCGACAGTACCTGGGGTCTAGATCGTATACACATGTGATCAAGTACCAAAAGCATCTCTACCCACAGACGACAGGTGAGGTTAGGTTTGCATAACTTGATGACGGGTTGGTGATAGGCACACCATTCTCGGTGTATGTGCAATACGGACCGTACGTAGCGCATACATGAACATGATCAAGCACCAACAACGACCACTCTACCACCATCGACAGCAGCACCGGCGACGAGAGCAGCAGCACCGACAACAACGAGGATGATGGTGATGGTCACAACAACTACGACAACACCACGGGTGGCTTTTGTTGAGACGCACGATGACCACTAGACCACGAGTCAGCGCTGACTCGTTGTCTAGTGGTCATCGTGCGTCAATAGTGGTTATCGTGCGTCTCAACAGCTTTCAATCACACCCAGCAGCAACCGTGTCTACATCACGAAGGATTTGTGTCGTGCGACATGTGCCGTCGCACCACCCCCCGCGCAACGCGGCCGCCAGAGACCAGCGAAGGGAATCAAACAAGATGTAGGAGCCCTTAGTCTGGGCGCCGTAGATTCACCGATTACCCTCAGCTCCACTGCCACCGGCAAACACTCAGCAGTATCGCGAAAATCACTCACGCTGTTGTTCACGCCGTACTGGTGACCGTCGACCTCCCACCCGCCTAGCCGCACGCCGGCACCCGTGCATTCCGATCCCACGTTGTACCTGTTATATGTTTTCCGTTTGTTTTGACAGCGGTGTGCGAGTTCCGATTTGTTTTTAAGATTATGCAGCACGGTCGTGACAGATGTGGCGATAGTGCGCATCGATGATGACCGGGTGACGTCCAACAACAACAGGGTAGGTAGGAGTTGTAGCGACAGGTATGGACGAGCGAGCAGCGTGTGTTTCCACCGATTAGGCGAAATTCTCTATTGGTACGCTTGAATAAAGGCATGCACCCCAGAAAGACGGCTGGCGCCAGCGAAAGGAGGGAGGGAGAGAGGGAGAGAGGGAGAGAGAAAGAGAGAGAGAGAGAGAGAGAGAGAGAGAGAGAGAGAGAGGCCAAGGTCAACAATAGGGAGGCCCATTCGCTTACCGGAAGGTGTTGCCGTCGCCCCGTGAGTCGTAGCAGCCGGATTCCGCGTCCAGCTGGTCGCTGCAGAAGTTGTCCTCGATAACGTTGCCGGAGGAGCCCTCCTTGATGTCGACGCACTCGTTACCGCTCGTGGAAATCAGGTTCCTGGAGACCACGTTGCCGTTGCACGTGTCCTCCCCGTTCGTCCACTACGGGTGGGTTTTGGGTTTTGTTGGGCGACATTGTGGGGACAGGGGTAGTCGGGTCTGGTTGTTGGACAACGGTACTTTGTCGTTGTTGTTGTGATTTTCGCGTTCGTGATTGTGTTGTTCTTGCTGATGTTTCTGTTGCTGTCGTTGCTGTCGTTGCTGTTGTTGTTTTTGTTGTTGTTATTGTTGTCGTCGTTGTTATCGTTGTTGATGTCGTCGAGCACACCGCTCAGTTCCTTCGAACGTCTGTGTCGGCCAACTCGACGCGGACGACTTCGGTGGTGACAGACCAACTGCCTACAAGGAGTGCGCATCGTATCGACATCTTTAAGCTGACTCCATGCCGCCCCAGTTGTCTGCCTTCCCCCCAGAGGTAAAATGTCAAATTCCACCTCTTGTGCTTCGTTTTTTGTGATTGGGGGGTACCGGACGCGATGCGCCGCGGAGCTTGCAAGTGGTCGTCGATTCCAGCAGTTTTACATTTCAACACACGGCGCTTGTCCTCCATCCGTTAGTCCTTAATTCTTCACTGAAGCTTCGAGCAGCCGCGGTCTATCGTTGTTCCGTTCGGTTCGCTGGTTTTCCTACTTCGTCGTGGCGCTTGCGAACGCAACGTCGACTTACAAGCACTATATTTTCGTGGGTCAAGCAATGTGTTGATTAAAAGTGTGCCAAAACCTGAGCCTTTGTTCATTCTTAAAACGGTTTATTTCTTGATTGCGGGCGCCTAATCGTGGATACGGTGACCACTTCACCTACCGTTTTTCAGCATCCGACCTTGCTTCCCTCAACCTACTTGCAGTCAGTGTTTTAGTTCATCTTACCAACGGTAGCGTGTCTTCCACAGGTGAAAGTAATCTGGGATACCGGTACAGATAAACAATGGATAAACAATGAGTCGAATGATGGTCAACAAGCCGGTATATCTACGATTCACTAGAGGGAATCCACGTGTTGTTGAAATGACGTGAAAGATTGACATTTCAGGAAGTTTTGACGTGAAGAGGTTGCGCCGCTTTTTTGGGGGCAAACTCTGACGGCGAAATTTTTGTGAGGAAGCGTCAAAATTAAATTTCACCCAAACATAAAACGACGCGAAAAGATTGACGCTTCAAACATCGCCAGACTGTGGCTCACACACGCTTGCTCTGCTGCGGTCTGCTGTGCGCGGTCAGCAGCGAACACATTGGCCATGCCTATACTGATTGCTCCTAGCGGTCCTGCACCCACGCGTCTCGGCAGTTCTCACGGCGGCCAAGAGGCCAGACGCGCGTGTTCGGCGCGCGCGTTCGGTAGATGCGCCGTCGCGATTGCGCACGGGCTTTCAGCAGCAAAAAGGGGCATAGGCAGGGGAGTGATTGGGGGAGTCTCGCCCTCGAAGGCAGCACATGGAGAGGAGTAAGGGAGGGTACACGGACTTTGCCAGTCAGTAGGTGCATTTCGCCCGCCCCCTCACGGGGTTCGGTGCTCTGCTGCCGCAGTGACATCGGTATATACACAGCAGTGCAGCGAGCAGCTGCCTTACTCATCAGCAACGAACGGCAGTTTGACGCCTGGGAAGTCGCAGTTTGACGCCTGGGAAAAGTCGCCGCGGCAAAGGAGGGAAGGTCGGCGGGATGAGGCGAAGGGGTACACCTAGTCTCCTGGGAGCCTGGGGGTGTGAGTCTTCGCTTCGGAATGTCGACCCTGGGTGGCAGCCCGAACCAACCTTGAACTCTACCTCCACCATTTTTTTTTTTCACCTCTCACGTGTCAACGGGCACACGCGGTGCGAATTTTTTCCCGTCAAAACCCTCAACCGTCACTTTATGTTGGCGTCAATCCTCAAAGGTCAAAATTCCGCGTCAATCCATAGTGGATACCCTATACTATGTATCATATTTTCTCCTCTCACTGCTGTACATATCATTATCACACGCTCGTCGTTTCTGCACCTACTGCTGTACCTGGGTGCTGGAAGTGCCGATGTAGACCCCTTCTCCGTTCTTGTCCTCCGAGTTGAACATGTAGTCGTGGACGCCGCAGTTCGAGATAGTGTTTCCCGTGACCTGGGCGTTGACTACGGAGTCCTTCAGGCGCACGCACTCTCCCCTGTTTTAAGCAGAGGAGTGGTGGATGTCGGGGTAAGGGGGGGGTCACACGGTCAGTGTCGGAAGCTACGTGGTTGGTTGTGGTGGTGGTGGTTTTTGGTTTCGGTCTATTCTGGGAAGTCGGCGACGGCGAGGGCTTCGTGTGTGTGAGAGGTATGAACGGGTTGAGACGGAGGGAAGGCAAAACACGTTTCGTTTTTTTTTTTTTCAATCTTGTTCTCCGACGCAGGCGGGTGTTGTCGTGAGAGTTGCGGCGGGTCGCACACATGTAACTTGTCTATGATAGAATGACAAGGGGGCATGTGCGACAATGCTGGTGCCACGTGCCACGTGCACAAAAGCGTACAAAACCCGCAATTCTGGACGACCATGTCCTACTCCATGACGAACCCACAGAGTGCAAAGTGCACACAAGTATACACAAGAAGATAAACGCACCCGCAATTCTGGACGACCATGTCCTCCATGACGAACCCGTCGAGGACTGCGGACGAATTAGCCCCGGGCCCTTCCACGTACACGCATTTGTTCACCCAAGAAGCCTGGTCGGTGTCGTTCGACCCGATCTTTCCCTCAACGCTGAACCCCTGCGATTATCATGGTTGGTTCGTTGTTGTATTGTTTCGTCGACAATACACAAGGGAGAGCGGCTGCCGGCCCCGTGGCGTGTGGTCCATGCGGTGTAGACTACTGTAGACTACGGTGAAATGAGCGAATTGAATGGACTGGTTTGCTCTGTTCGCGGTGTCGAGGAAAATTCGCCGGGGTATTTATTTTGTGGAATGAGGAAACAAACACAGGATGCGGCGATCGACGCTGCTTTGGGCGCGCGCACGCTGCTGCTATTACAGGACATTGTATAAGAGCGGTCAGGAAACACATGCAGCGAGCGGCCTTCAGCCCGACGAAAATGGATTTTTCACACACTCACCGCAGTCACACAACCCAGAGCGTGAGGGGATCGGACGGCGGGTATCTACTGCTTGTATGCATACAATGCATCTGCTAGATATTATTTGTAACGGTTTAACGGCAATCGTTCTTGTCATCGGATTGGCCGGCTCTGCTGTAGACTACAACAATGGTCTATTCGTGCAGTCTATGCTGTTGCCGTGCTTGCAGGCCCGTGCTCAGCACCTTGGGTAGTTTCTGGCAGCTGCACGGCAGCTGCACGGTGGAGCAGTTTCCAGCCTCTGTGTGCGGCAGGACCACCGAAGCGCAAAGATGGCCCATCGGCACGAACCAATGGTCCGAGCACATCTACTGCTCTAACAACCATCTGTATATGTACTGCTGCACAGTAGAACGCGGTGAGAAATTTCGTCATGCATTCGTGGATCTCAACCGACACACTCTGGCGACACAAAACACAAAACGTACGTGCGGTCGCCCACGGTGTTTCGAGTAGCCACGCACTACACACTATCTCCCGTGTAGCAGGAAACGACGCAAATGGTGCATCGAGTAATATTTCATTCGCTCCTTCTTGCTCCATTTCAACTGCGAGCACAGCAGTAGCAACCAGACAGCTTCCGGACTCATGCGACGATGCTCATCATCATCCAAAGATCCAACCGTTCAGGCAGTCACACAGCTTGGATCCGACCCACACACATACCAGGCCTATCTGTATTAGTATCTATCCCACCCATGCACACACCTTGAGCGTGATGAAGCTGTGCGTGATGAACACGGAGCGGCTGCTGGAGGACCCCTTGATGATGGCCCCCGGCCCGCCGGCCACGGTGATCGGACTGCCGAACTCGCCGTCCCTGATGGAAACCAGGGCGCTGTCGTAGGTGCCGTTTTGGAGGTTCACCGTATCGCCGGCCTCAGCCAGATCCATGGCCTCATAAAGATCGATCCCGTCGCCATCAGCGCTAACGTTGTACGTGACCGCGAACGCCGAAGGCGAGAGAACAAGCAGCAGCAGAAGAAGAAGTGCACTGCGTAGCAGCCGCGGGACGGGCAGGCTGCTGGAGTTGGTCTTCTTCTCGCTGTGGCAGCACGCCATGGGTGGTGTCGTTGCTGTTCCAATGAATATCTTGTACCTCTCACAACAGGAACAACAGCAGCGCAGCAGAGGAAACCACCAGCAGCAGAACGCAGCAGAACGCCGTACAGGCAATAAGTGGCCTCTCGTGCGCTGGGTATGGTAGTGGCGGTGCGCAAGACAGTGCTGGTGAGAAGGAGGGCAGGACGGGAGGCAGAGAGAGTGGTGTGTGTGTGTGTAGGGTGGTGGTGGTGCGCACGGGTGTGTTTGTGGAACGGAAGGATGTTTATTATGTTTGACAAAAATGTTGTGGGCGGCGGCGGGACTGCTGTCAGCTTTGTTCCGGTAAATCTTCTCGCGAGAGCGAAAACCGGTGGAGAACCACAAATTCCCGACAGAAATACGCTGAGACGATAATAATTACACCGGTTTGCAACGGTTTGTTGAATGTTTGCGGTTGACATCAGCGGTTGATTGATGATGGTTGGTTGCTAATGACAGATGACGACACCGACTAGAATATCTGTCTGCTGGTGTGAGAGTCTCACTGTCAGCAGAGCAAAACATTATTCCCCAAGGTGATGGGTACAGAAGCCTCGACATCAGGGCTGACGACGCACTCTATATTCGCGTGGTGGGCGAATGTATGCGCGTGCTCTATAGACGCTCTATGTGTGGTCTACCAGCGAGTGAGGGTGCCTTATTTATTGAGCGTCGGATCTGACACATGCGTGTGATTTGAGACCCATACAGTATTCATTCTTTGTTTTGTGGTGAATTGGCGAAGAAAAAAACTGTGCGCGCACGCGCACGCACCCACAACCCACAACCAACCCTGCTTCTCCCTCTTTCGCGCGCCTCTGTAACGGCTCTGATGATGCCTGATGATGATGCCAGATAGTGATGACGAACAAACATGCTGAGGGCGCCCTCTTCTTATTACCTTGCAGTAGAGGTATTCTACACAGCAGCAGTCGAGAGAGAGAGGCCTCATTGCTTCCATCCGCCATGCGGATAAATCCTCTTACGTATCCTACCTGATGGTGGAGCGGGCCCAGAACACCACACTTTTTGTTACTGTACAGGAGTGGCAGCAGCAGCAGCGGAGGAACAAAAAAATTCGCTTCTTCCCCGAAAAAAATTCGGGACATTCTTTTTGAAACTTTGTGGCCGTTTCATACACGGAGACAACGGGCGGCACACACACCCATATCCTACGTGTGTATCCTCCATGCTCTCGCCGGTCACAATCAATAATATTCCATTTGCTTCTGAGCGTCCGTGCGGTTTCGTGGGGCATGCTGCTGCTGCTGTGTGCGCTCCCCATTTTGCCGGGCGGCACAAGCGGCGGGGGAACCATGAAAAACACATAAGTACCGTGTTACTCCTTCTCAATACACAACAGTTCGTCCTCGACTGGTCTGTAATAATTAATGTGTGCGGCTGTGTACGCAGTCACCGCAGTGAGTATTCAAATCCTACATGGGAAAAACAGCTCCGCCTCTCTCTGCACAGTGCGTTGCCTTCTCTCATACTTTCACTCCGAGGTGGGCGACCTCCGCGACCCCGCCAGCCAACGCTAACACGGCTATCCATCACATCGTTGTTTCGCTTGTTCTCCGCTCTCTCGTTACTCGCATCCTGCGGAATGCTCCAGAAGGGTCTCCTTTCCGTCACCGATTCTCTATCGCCAAGTGTAAGGAAGAAAGTCCTAAAGTAAGTATGAAAAATATACCAAAGTGGGGAAGGTCTGCTGCTCCTAGCTGTACTCAGTTGTCGTTTGATCTCTTTCGTTGAAGTCTTCTTAGACCACGGGTAGGTCCGCTCAGCGCTTACTCGGAGAGCACGAGAGCGGGGCAGGGATTATGATCTAACTTCAAGCTGTCAACACGCCACAAAACCGAACAATTTGGAAGAATACATGAGTCTCATCAGGATCCGCTTGGCGGCACCAACCGCGTCAGGTTGGTTCAACCTACTACCTACTTACGGCTGACGAGATTTCTACTTTTACTTTGTCGTCCGCTTGTTGCAACCAACTTGACGCAGAAAACACATGCAGAACGGATGGACAGCCTACTCCATGTCTGCGCACAATTTTCAGCCACTCAACAACGAAACGGCAGCTCTAGCTGCACCGAAAAAACCCATCACACAGCGTATCGATGTTACACGCACCTACAACAACGACACCGAGTTTCAGTCCTACATAATTTGGACATCAACAAAGCCAAATCCAGTACGTGGACTGGTTACGCTGCGTTGTCTCTGGTTTGTTTCATACCCCATAACCAACGATCGCCAAAATATCCAACAAACACAAAAAACACGACGAAAGCAACAAAAGAAGGGAAATAAACACCGGGACAACGGCACAAATACACACCCGCCAACCACGAAAAAACAAGAAAGCACGAAGCACACACACACACACACACACACCTTTCCAGCCAAAGAATACCTTACAACATGTAGTCTACGCAGACTACCACTTTTCTGTGATAGAATGATGAGGGGAAGATGACCAAACCTTGCCATGGACAGGCTATGACTGCCTCCTGTTCCCCCGGAACAAGAGATACATACTACTACTAGGACCTGTTCTGACGGTACTACTACTATTGCTGCCGCCATCTTGCTAAAGTAAACTCTTGTTGGTCATGATAATCCTTCCTACTGCCGTTCCTTCAACTCCAATACTACCACCACAACTCACTATGTCCCCGAGAAGCCATCCTTACCCAGCACAAAATGTCCACCATGCATCATCTCTCAGCGGCAGGCTGACTGTTGTAGCGCACACTCGACGACACCATCACCAGGAGCATGGTCTGCTCAACAAAATCGATGGTCCCAACTCTTGAAACCCCACTGACCGTCGGACAGGCGCGTCAATGAGAGCTATAGGACTGCGCTGCTATTCCAATGCGTTACAAACGACGGGTCTCCCACAACACGCTACGCTGGGGTAAATGATTTCCTTCCACATCTACAATGTATGCATGTGTAACTGCATGCAGCAGTAGTAGTAGCAGAATTTCTGCTTGTCCGCTCATGAGTAAAACCGTGACCGTCCGAAGTACCCATTTCCCTCTCATCACAACACACCCACACAACACCGAGTGAAAACCGGGCAAGAAAGTATAGACACCCCGACTGCACGCTGCACGCCTGCGTGCGCGCGTCCGAGCGCAAAGCCCACTATAGTAGAATTTTGCTCGAGATATTTGACGACCGAGAATTGATACCCCCACACGCCAAACCCCACACGACCTTATCACAACAGCAAAACGTCCTCACCACAACAATCACAAATAAATCCCGTCATCTTGGCATGGTTACACAGAACAACGACAAAGAACACTCTCGTAATTAAAGACCAAGCAACAGTCCACACAACTTTGATGAGCAAGACGAACGATGAGTTTATCAAGTAAAACTACGGCGTTAAACAACACTACAGGAACCAGTCCACGAAAAAAGCAACGTCCAACACTGTCGACATCCCCCCCCCCCGCGCGCGCCTCCCTTCTCTCGCCGTTACTCTCTTTCTCCGGACCCCCCCCCCTCCCCTCCCTCCCCAGACATACGCAACATGCCCCACACACACGGCTATGCATGGATCTCGCAGAAGCATAAGCACGATTCCTATAGCCTCGGCCTGTATCTGACCACTGAACAAGGGTCCATAAAGCGCACTTCAACACACGGAGTAACTTGACGGCACTCACAACCAACCGCTCTCGGGGACCCTGCCGGTCGAATAGCCAACATAACACAACGATCACCACGGTTATTATGTACTGGTAAATCAACAAATCGATGCACTTGCGTTTCCCGCATTTCATGGCTGAAGCGTGTCGCACTTCTCTCTTTTGGAACGGGAAAATCTCGAGATGGGCGAGCCTGAAGTTCACCTTCTTCTATATGCTAACGTGTTGCCAGATGGGAGGCCACCGGAAAAAATTATCACAAAATCTAGAGCGTTCGCCAGAGGGGTAAAAAAATCAAACAGCGTGAGAAAGTGTCGACCGCTTTCGAAGCTTGGCGGGAAAAGCTCTATCTATAACTGTGGACCTCGGTAGCGGGGACACCCCGCCAAAAAAACAGAAGATAAACTAAAAAACGTGAGTTTGTCCCTCCCAAAACAAATGAAAAAAAAAAACGGTGTGCCCCCCCACCCCCTACCCTCCTCCTAATTGTAGCTCCATCACTGCCCCCAGAATTTTTGTTTATTATCCCGGCTGCGTCGGAATATTGACAGCGCCTCGTTCAACGCATCGCTCGAGCCACCTTGACAAAGAAAATCGCCTTGGGTCCAAACCGTTGCCTCATTCATTCTTTCAATATCCACACAGCACACAGACCGTAGCGAGTGCTTCGATGCCTGCAAAGCTCTCTGACCGACAGAGCTACGTTGACTAAGGTTGTTGTGTCTCTGCCATCTGCACGACCAGAGGCCATACCGCACCGACCGCTGCGGCCGCCACCGTCCATGAGTTCCAGCCCCGCCTAGGAGGCCCGGCCAGCGCCGCCCCTCAAGCGGCGGCGATCGCGCCGCTCCGACTCGTCGTCGTCGCTGTCGAAACGGTCACCGTAGTCGTCAGAGTCGTCAGAGTCGGTGGTGCTGGCGGTGGCGGCTTCCTCATCGTCGTCTGTTCCCCTGCGAGACCTGCTCCGGCTGCTGCTGCTGCCTTCGTCGCCGTCGTCGCTGTCCTGTGCCTCCTCACCGCCATCATCATCATCGTCTTCGGACAGCGGCGTGACGAAGCCAGAACCGTCGTCGTCGTCGTCGTCGTCGTCGTCGTCGCTGCCGAGCTTCTCTTCCTCCTCGCCGTAGTAGTAGTAGACGTTATCATCATCTATGTGGTCGTCGTTGTTGTCGTCGTCGTCGGAATCGGCGTCGGCGGAGACACGGAAATCGTCGTCATCGCTGTCCTGCGCCTCCTCGCCGCCATCGTCGTCGTCTTCGGACAGCGGCGTGACGAAGCCAGACCCGCCGTCATCGTCGTCGTCGCTGTCGAGCTCCTCCTCCTCCTCCTCGCCGTAGTAGTAGTCGACGTCATCATCTATGCCGTCGTCGTTGTCGTCGGAATCGGCGTCGGCGGAGACACGGAAATCGTCGTCGTCGCTGTTCTGTGCCTCCTCACCGCCATCGTCGTCGTCTTCGGACAGCGGCGTGACGAAGCCAGAACCGCCGTCGTCGTTGTCGCCGTCGTCGTCATCACTCTCGTTCGAGGCGGACCCATCTCCGCTGCTGCTGTGGGCGCTGCTGGCGCTGCTGCCGCTGCTGGCGCTGCTGCCGCTGGTGGTGCCGCTGGTGGTGCCGCTGGTGCTGGTGCTGGTGGTCATCGTAGTGCTGGAGCTAGAGGGGGAGGTGGAGGAGGATGTAGTGGTGATGATGCCGTCGCATGCCTGGTCCCACGAGGTGGTGATGCCCGACAGGCCCTCGCTGCAACGTTGGCGGCGTTAGTAGTGTAACGTCGTCGACGATGATGTTGGTGGTAGCGGCGATGGTGATGGTGGTGGTGTTGATGGTGTTGGTGTTGGTGTTAGTGTTGGTGGTGATTATGACGGCGGTAATTGTGGCGGTGGTATCGGTGCGATGGCGATGGTGTTGGACGCGGTGGAGGTGTCGTTTGTTGTTTTGGTTGAGAGGCGAAGAAAGGGCCGAGGTAGGAAGCGAAGGGGGAGTGGCTCAGGTTAGACGGTGATACGCCCAGCACGGGCGTTGATCGCTACATAGGGGTCGAGCAAGCCCCCACATATGAAACGTGCATTCACTGCACTCCCCGTGTGTCATTTAAGACACATACCAGCAGCGACGGGAAGCACGGGCAAACCACCGACAAGGAGCTTCGACAGCGCCATCCGACATCGAAGTCACCACGGAATTAGTTGTGGGTGCGTCGTATCTCACACGCGTTCTGTCAGAGGGGGTGTTTGGGAAGAAACCGACAGAAAACGTTCTCCAGCAACACCACAGCAGCTGTAGCAACAGTGGCGGCAAGAACCACAAAATACGGCACCACTCTGAACAGCACTCGCAACAACAACAAAACTCACCCGACCAATGAGCAAGACCCGTCCTCGCACGTGTTGCCGCAAATGTCGCCCTGCTCGCCCACGAGCACCTTGAGGGCCCCTTCGCCGACGGCATTGAAGTCGTTGCCGTACACCTGTCGTCGTGGGTTGAAGAAGGAAACGGAAAAAACGACAGTGAAGGGCCCCTCCCTGTATACGTAGCTGGCGGCTTGGTCCACAAAAAAAGGGGGGGTTATCGTGGCTGTCGCGTTGGTTGGTAACAGCGATGTGCCCGTATCATGACAAGTGTGGTGTTCGTTGTGGCCGGGGGGCAGAGACAACCCTCCGGGATAAGGGCAACATTCTCGTCAGGCGTTGTGGGTGTGTGGGTTTGCTTTATGAGAGGGTGGTGCCGGCGACAGTGCCTGGGGTCTGGATGGCATGATAAGGATATGTTCAAACTCCATCAGGACCCACCACCACAGACGACAGTAGTTGGGATAGGGTTTGAGGCGTTTGGTTATGGGGTTGGTGACCGATACGTACGTCATTCTCGGTGTATGGACGATATGAACGACATGTAAATACGAATACATGCAAGTTCAAACGCCAACAACGACCAGCCTACCACCACCGATAGCAGAACCGACGGCCAGAGCAGCAGCAACGACGACGACGACGACGACGACGATGATGGCGACAACAGCAACGACCACACAACGATGTGACTTTCAAACACTCAGAGCAGCAGCAGCAGCCGTGTCTTCATCACGAAGAATTGGTGTCTTGTGACACGCACCGTCGCACGTAACCCGCGGACCGCGGCCGAGAGAAAAAAAGCGAAAGTGAACTATTGTATACAAGAGCGGCATGTAGTAGCTGCGTCTGGGCGCTATAGGTTCACTGATTACCCTCAGCTCCACCGCTACAAAAATACAGCAGTAGCACGAAAATCACTCACGCTGTTGCCCACGCCGTACTGGTGACCGTCGACCTCCCACCCGCCTAGCCTCACGCCGGCACCCATGCAGTCCGTTCCCACGTTGTACCTGTTTGTTTTTTTTCGTTTGTTTTGACAGCGAACCGCGTGCGGGGTTTGTTTGTTTTCATGATGATGCAGGTACAGTCGTGACGAATGTGGCCCACAACAACGTGGTGGTACATAGCAGTTACAGCAAACAGATATGGACGAGAAATCAGCGTGTGTTTCCGCCGATTGAGTGAAACCCCCGATTTACGCGCCCGATGAAAGGAATGCACCCTCTGTGAAGCGGGGGGTTGTTCTGATGGCTTTGCGAAATTCCCTATTGGCGCGCCGATGAAAGCCATGCACCCTGAGAAAGAACGCTAGTGCCAGTGGAGGACGAGAGGGCACCCCGAGAAAGAAGGTATCAGTCACCAGAAACACCTATATTTTATCGTTTTGTCCTCACTGCCGAGCAAAGGCTTACTGTCGGAACTAATGTATGAACTGTAGCGCCGGACGCTAAATGCTCAATTTCTTAGGACAATTTTCCTCTTGAGTTTGTCTCAATATCTGAGCCGCGGTGTCTTACGAACATACTTGTGACGAGCGGGCCCGCACTGTAGTGCCAGTAGAGGGAGAGGGAGAGGGAGAGGGAGAGAGAGAGGGAGGGGGAGAGAGAGAGAGAGAGGTAGGCAGAAAGACACACACACACACACACACACAGGGCGAGGGAGAGAAGAGGCCAAGGTCAACGACAGGGAGGCCTATAGGCTTACCGGAAGGTGTTTCCGTCGCCCCGTGAGTCGTAGCAGCCGGATTCCGCGTCCAGCTGCTCGCTGCAGATGTTGTCCTCGATAACGTTGCCGGAGGCACCCTCCTTGATGTCGACGCACTCGTTGCCGCTCGTCGAGATTCGGTTCCCGGAGACCAGGTTGTCGTTGCACGTGTCCTCCCCGTTCGTCCACTACGGGTGGGTGTTGTTGGGAGATGTTGTGGGGGCGGGAGTAGTCGGGGTTGGTTAGCCAAGGGTACGGCAGCATGTTGTTGGTGGTGGTTTTGTTGGTGTTGGTGTTGTTGGTGGTGTTGGTGTTGGTGTTGGTGTTGGTGGTGGTGGTGGTGTTGGTGGTGGTGTCTGTTGTTGTTGTTAATGTTGTTGTTGTTGTTGTTGTTGTTGTTGTTGTTGTTGCTGTTGTTGCTGTTGTTGCTGCTGCTGCTGCTGTTGTTGTCGCAGTTGCTGTTGTACATGATGTCGTCGAACTCACCGCTCAGTACCTTCTAATATCTGTGCTGTAGTACAGTCTGTCTGGTGTAGGAGGATCCGCGGCTGAGGCGTGTTTGTAACAGTCGGTATTCTCCACGTGTCGACCAAAATCTGAGCCCTTTGTTTATTCTTAGAACGGTTTGTTTCTAAAAAACGATTTTTTATCACGTGTCTCGCCAAACTCTGACAAACGTTTTTGTTCTTGATTGGAGGCGCAAACTGACCACCACGTACCTGCCGCATTTCCATCATCTGACGTTGGTTCCCTTCCCCGTCTTGTACTCGTTTTTTTTTTTAGTGTTTAACGAGCAAGTCGTCTTCCACGCATGAGAGTCATCCGGGATATAGACCGGTATTGATGAAACATGGAGCTCAAAACGGAGTTGAATGATGACCAACAACACGTATTTCTATGATTCCCTACAGATCGTGGTCCCGGTTCAGTCTAAACTCTAAAAAAAGCGCCAGAGGTCCATAGTGTCACAACATGTTATAACCGCTATTGAGGGCATCGTCGCTAAGCCGGATTTTGGCAGTTACATTGTCAGTCTTAGACTACCGAGGTGCACCCGTGCCACGAGATTTTTTGGACCAACATTCAGGGTATCCCGCTACACAGGGAACCGCAAACAAGAACGGGACCTCGACTGTATATTTTTTCTTCTCACTGCTGTACATGATATCAATCAACATTACTACGCTCGTCGTTGCTGTACCTACTGCTGTACCTGGGTGCTGGAAGTGCCGATGTAGACCCCTTCTCCGTTCTTGTCCCCCGAGTTGAACATGTAGTCGTGGACGCCGCAGTTCGAGATGGTGTTCCCCATGACCTGGGCGTTGATCACGGAGTCCTTCAGGCGCACGCACTCTCCCCTGTTTTAAGCAGAGGCGTGGTCGGGGTCAGGTTAGGGGGGTGGGGTCACACGCGGTCAGTGTCGGGAGTACGTGGTGGTGGTGGTGGCGGTGGTGGTGGTGGTGGTGGTTTCGGCCGATTCTGGGAAGTCGCCGGCGGCGAGGGCCTCGCTTGTGTGTGAGACATGCGCCGATTGACGGTTGGAAGGCAAAAAATAGCTCGATTTTTTCGAAGCTTGGTTCTCCGAGTCGGAGCAAGTGTCGTGAAAGTTGGGGCGGGTTAATCATAACAAATACAGAACGCGCCACCACTTAAGAAATTGTTGAGCCTAAAACGAAAAAAAAACTTGATGAGCACCACTTGTTGTGAGCTCGGTTAAGAACCCCTACCACGAACACCTATATTGCGACCATTCGTAGCATGACCCTAGGAATACAGTAACAACCCCAGCCTCGGCTCGGCCGAAACTGGAGGTTCTTAGGTGCGGGCGTGTTCTGTACGGTACAATGTAAGAATCACTTGCAGAAAAATAAACGTGCAACAACAATTCGAACAACGGTGGTTCTACTGCTGTGCCATGGGCACAAAAGTTACGAAGAAGAGATAAACGCACCCGCAGTTCTGGACTATCATGTCCTCCATGACGAACCCGTCGAGGACGGCGGAAGACTGAGACCCGGGCCCTTCCACGTACACGCACTTGTTCACCCAAGAAGCCTCGTCGGTGTCCGAAGTTCCGATCTTTCCCTCGACGGTGAATCCCTGTGATTTGTTGATGTCGACGCAGGGGTCGTTTCGTTGTTTGTGTTGATGTCTGTTTGTTTTGTTTTGTCAGTATACAACAAGTGATGTGGGGACTATAATAAGAACACTACATCAGCGGATTTAATGGACTGGTTTGATATTTTCTGTTTCGCGGAAAATTCGCCGGGGTTCATATTTCGTGGGATGACGAAATAATTATACTAATTTTTGTAGCAATCGACACTGCTGTTGGGCGCGCACTGCTGCTACTACTACAAGACATTGTTCAAGGGTGGCCAGGAAACACATGCAGCGGCCTGCAGCCTGACGAAACGGATTTTCACTCACCGCAGTCACACCATCCAAAGCGTGAGGGGATCCGGGGAAGAGCGGGTATCTCTAGATATTTGTAACGGTTTTTACATACCGGAAATCATTCTTGTCATCGGGTAGACCTAGACAGCTGTTAACAACAACACGGCATAGTCTGTGGTGCAGTCTATGCTGTGGCCATACTTGCAGGCCTATGCTGCAGCACCTTGGTAGTTTCTGGCAGCTGCACGGTGGTGCAGCAGTTTCCAGTCTCTCTGTGCCGCTTCATGCATGGAGCCACCGAAGCGAAAAGATTGCCCATCGGCACAAACCAACGGTCCGAAGACAACAACGTACACATCTAGTCTACAATACGGTGAGAAATTTCGTCATTCATGGATCTCAACCGACACACTCGTGCGGTCGCCCAGGGTATTTCCAGTAGCCACACGATCTCCCGTGTGGCAGCACACGATGCAATAATGGTGCGTCGAACAATGTTTCATGCGCTCCTTTTTGCTCAAACAACTGCGAGCAGCAACAGTACCAACTACTGTAGATTGCTCCGGGGCCTCATGCGACGATACTCATCGTGCACAAAAGATCCAGCCGTTCAGACAGTCACAGCCGTAAAATCCCACCCACCCACACACCTTGAGCGTGATGAAGCTGTGTGTGATGAGAACGGAGCGGCTGCTGTAGGATCCCTTGATGATGGCCCCCGGCCCGCCGGACACGGTGATCGGACTGCCGAACTCGCCGTCCCTGACCGATACAAGGGCGCTGTCGTAGGTGCCGTCTTGGAGGTTCACCGTATCGCCGGCCTGAGCCAGGTCCATGGCTTCATAAAGATCGAACCCGTCGCCATCAGCGCTAGCGTCGTACGTGACAGCGCGCGCCGAAGGCGAGAGAATAAGCAGCAGTAGCAGCAGAAGTGCACTGCGTAGCAGCGGCGAGACGGGGAGGCTGCTGGAGTTGGTCTTCTTCTCGCTGTGGCAGCACGCCATGGGTGGTGCCGTTGTTGTCCCAAAAAATATCTTGTACCCTCTCTCTGAACCGGCAGCAGCGCAGCAGGGGGGAGCAGCAGCAGAAACTCTGTACAACAGTAGTAGGCAACAGATTGCCTCTCGTGCGCTGGATGTAGTAGTAGCGGTGCACAAGACAATGCTGGTGAGAGGGAGAGGGAGAGGGGGAAGAGAGAGTGTGTGGTGGTGGTGCGCACCGGTGTTGCGTTTGTGGAACGGACAGGATCATAGGAACCGTTTTGTGGGCGGCGGCGGGACTGTCAGGTTTTAGTTCCGAGATTTCTCGCGAGAGCGAAAACCGGTGGAGAACCACAAATCCCAAACTGAGCCGATATTTTACCCGAAACGTCGTATTTTTCCGGTTGACATCAACGGTTGGTTGATGATGGTTGATGACGACACCGATTAGATTAGGATCTGTCCGCTGGTGTGAGCGTGAGCAGAGTAAAACACGTGATTCCACCCGTCGGGCTGACAACGCACTCTACCAGTGGGAGCCGATATTTTACCCGAATCGTTGTATTTTTCCGGTTGACATCAACGGTTGGTTGATGGTGGTTCATGACGACACCGATTAGATCAGGATATATATCTGTCTGCTGGTGTGAGCGGCAACAGAGTAAAACACGTGATTCCACCCGCCGGGCTGACAACGTACTCTACCAGTGGGTGTATACTACTGTAGTAGTCTAAGATCTATGCGTATACGTAGCGGTCTTTGACTGCGCTTCGGTGTAACGTGTGACATGGAGACCGTTACTTTTCGGTTCTGATACCTCGGCGACAGGCGACTTTCTGAAAGAATAAAACTACGTGCGCACGCGCACACGCACACGCATCCACAACCATCCACAAAAAAACCCTCTGCTTCGGCTTTTTTCTTTCGCGCGACTGTAACAACGCTGGTGCTTGATGGGGTTCCCTCTCAAACTCGTCGATGATGAACATGCTGGGGGCGCCATCTTGTATACCAACAACCCCCAGGGATGCTACTGCTGTAGTCTGCACAGCGCACCAGCCACGAGAGGGGCCTCCTTGCTTCCATGCGGAAAAAAAACGATTTCTTCCGGGTTGAGCGGGCCCAGAACACCACACAACAAAGCAACAGTCTTTAAAGCAGCAGCAGCAGCGGAGGAACAAAAAATAACGGTTCTTCGCCAAACATCCGATCAATTATTGAAATTAATTGTGGCCCTAGCTAGCCGTGTGCAGGGACAACGGGCGGCACACCACACACTTACGTACCCTCCATGCTCTCGCCGGCCACAATCAATAAGATACCGTTTTGCTTCTGAGCGGCCGTGCGGTTTCGTGGGACTTGGCCTCGACTGCAGTCTGTACAAAAGTTGAGCTGTTGATATGTAGGGCTGGCTGTGCAATCACCGCGCGTGAGTACCGCGAGTTGAGTATTCAAATCCCACCCACCTGTGGGAACAGCTCCGTCTCCACGCACACGCTCTCTTTGGGTAGAATAATGTAAAGGTGGCAGGCCAAAAGATGAATCTACCTATCATTTCAACGACAGATTGTAGCCGCCCCCGCTGCAGGGCTTTAGTTTTCAGTAGATACAGTATGCACCGGCCGTGTTTTTTTTACGTACCTGGTGAGCAAAAAAAACGCGGCAGATGTCACGAGCGATTACATGTACTCTCTCGTCATGCAGATGATGTGGAGAGGATACATTTATCATGTGCCTCGATCAGCCGGTGGTCAACCGTACATCCCCCGTGGATGGACCTGGCCCCACCGACCGGTTGCCCCGTCGCCGCCAAAACCCAACCGTAGTTTCGCCAGTGTTGTGTGTATACGGCCCCACACTAAAGTATGTCCGCTGAACACTGCATAATAATTGGAACGCTCATGCGCTACTGCTGTAGTCTAGAGCATTACCGTCAACTTTTCCGCTTGAAGTATACCGTGTTGTACATATGCAGACTACAAACAGCAGTAAACTGCACTCAAGCACACACGAAGCGACGTGTTCGCGGTGTGAGTGGCGCGGCCTGCTGTGTGCAAGGGCCGAAATATCAAAGTCCCTCCTTCCGGTATTTGAATTACAGCAATCGCACCTGCCGGATGTGCTTGGCTATGAAAAGGGATCTCCAAACAACCACGGATTGTCTGGATTGGCACACAAACGCAATGATGATGGCCAGTTTCTGGTTCATCGTTGTAGCCTGGGCCGGCGCAAAACGGGCATATCGCTCCGTGCCGGAATTTTAGGGATGGAAGGCCTACGGTCTAACGACTACGGAATGAGTGGGTTTACATTGTGAATACCCCCGATCAACGTTCACCCAGCGCACAGCACCAAGCGAGCAAACTCGTGCTACAACGCCATCAACGGCAGTCGCTCGTCTCACATCCTGTGGAATGGTGGAGCGCGCATATTGCACCCTCGAGCCCCCTGCCACGCTGTCTGGTTATTCCAAATGGCGGGCAAATACCTTTTCGCTCCGAGTGAAGCGTTCTCGCCATTGTGTGACAAAAAAAATCATGTAGGGGGTATTGTTTGCCTCGTTCACGTAGGAAAGTCGCCACCTCGGTGTAGAATATAGTGACGCCGCCGTGGATGACGGCACCACTCGACCATCGACTTTTAGCCATTCAGAAGTATCCTTTCAAACAAAATTGGCCAATCAGAAAACTACGGGCACCTTTGAACCTCTCTAACTGCGGCCACATTTTTTTGCGATACACCACACCCGCTGGACAGATTCTCAATTCTCGACTTCTCAACCCCAGCAGTGGCGGTGTGCCGAAAACGGCGGCGTTTTTGAGCCGTCTCGTCGAGAGTTCTTTTTGGAAACCGCCGCATCGTTCCATTTTTTTGCGTTGTTCTTCTCTCCGTCGTGGAGAAATCGAGTTTCGAAAAACAGGTTCAAGGGTGTGTGATAACAAGCTTGCGCCAACCCCAAGTCTTGGAAACAACTCGTCGAGGGCTTCCCGTAGACGTGTGTGGTCCTTTCCGCGCCCCCTTGGTTGAGTAGGAATAGAGCTTTGAAATTCGCTCTAGGGGGGATGCCGTCTCTCCGGCTCTTACGGTAAAACTTGAGCCTCAAAAAATTCCATAATAAAAGAACTCAAGCATAACAACACGTGCTAGTCAAGAATCCTACACTAAAACCAATATCGTCGCCGTGGGGATGCCCCGACGACAATAAAACAAGACAAAGAGCCCAGGCCAAAATGAGAGGTTTCGTGAGGGGTGGCGCATTCTGTACTACGACACGACGGGTTCAAGGCGGTGCCCGCTGAATGGTTGAAGCGGACAGTTCTGTGCTAGATACGACACGACGGCTTCAAGGCGGTGTCCGTTGATTGGCTGAAGCACACAGTTCTGTACTACGACACGACGGCTTCAAGGCGATGCCTGCTGAATGGCTGAAGCGGGCAGTTCCGTGCGCTCCGCCACCCGGAGACGAACGCTCCTCGCCCTGGGGTTGAGAGCCACCTCCTCCTCGCCCGCCATGAGGGGTTTCCGCAGGAGAGGCTTCCAGGGGCTCAGCAGGTTGCCGTAGAAATCCTTCTCCACCTTGCCCTGCAGCAGCACACGGCGTTGGTCGTCATTGAGAAAGGGCGACGCGTTGCACGTCAGGGAGGGTGGAGGCGTCGGAAAGTTGTCGTTACCGGGCGTTCACAAAAGAGTCGGTCGTCGTTGAGAAAAGGCGGCGCGTTGCACGCCAGGGAGGGTGGAGGCGTCGGAAAATTGCCGTTACAGGGTGTTTACAAAGAGTTATTTAGTTGGTCATCGCTGAGAAATGGCGACGTGTTGTATCAGGGAGGGTGAAGG